AGTCAAATCTTTTAAAATTTACAGCTTCTTTCAACACTGTAAAATTTATAGTTTTAATAAAATTTCAAACTAGATTTTATATATATATATATATATATATATTTCACAATCAACACTTTTAAAAATTTACCAACAACATGTTGATCAAAGTGGAAGGAATTCGATTTTTCTAGTAAAATCTTAAGTTCAAATCTTGTGAATGAAAAAATAAGCGCGAAGAGAATTTTCTCTTAATGGAATTTGACGCGACTCGATTTCGTATTAATCGAAATCTAATGTGATTACCAGATACTCAGAGGTTAGTAAAAAAAAACTCTTAAAATTTTATATTTTTGGTCAACACTCTCCATGATTTAAAATTTGTAAAAAAAACTCAAAAATTAATTGTCAAATTCTTTATTTATATTCTAATTTTATTAGTAATTTAATTTTTTTTTTATAAATTTTAAATTATAAAAAATATTAACTAAAAATAAAAGTTACGAAGAGTGTTGAATATAAACAAAAATAATATGCATAATATAAATAAGAAGATTTGCCTTTAACACATGTCCAACATTTATAGTACCTATAAAAGACTAATGTGAATACAAGTGTCCTCCACGCCTCTGCAGCAAAGGAGGTGCCAGACGCTGGAAAATGACTTTCTTTATGAACACTGGCAAATGGCAATTTGGCACTGCAATGGGAAAGGGGGCTGAGTGGATCCCTTGTCTGGTGACCACCGGCTCTAGTGACCCAGAGTCGCAAGAAAAGAATTGTGACACGGAACAGCGGCCTACATTTGTGTCCTCATCCGAACCCAATCATGTAGAATCTATCAGAATGTCTAATGTCTCATGTGCAAAAGATATGGTTTGGATATTGCAAGCGTAATTTCTAGGCAGGTTAAATACCTTTTTTGGTCCCTCTACTATAGGAAAAAACCCTTTTTTGGTCCCTGTACCAAAAAAATTTCCTTTTTGGTCCTTACTGTTCATAAATCCGACCCCTTTTTAGTCCCTCCGTTAAATTTTGGCTGAGGTGGCTCGTTAATTAACAGAAAAACTCATTTTGTTTTTTTTATTAAATTACGTGGAATATCCATCTGACAAAAAATGATGACATGGTTAAATTTTTTACTTTTAATTACTGATTT